AAAAAGGTATTTTTTTTTTTTTTTTTTGAAAAACTCATTGAAAATTTTTTATGATTTTATAATATTTCAGAATATCCACATATTAGTTTACATTTATAAACATATACTAGCTTATTAATACCCAAAACTAGCTTATTAATTATTAAAAAAAAAAACTTATAATAAGATAAGAATATTCAAAAATAATTACCTTCAAAATTATAAATATCTTCAGACTTTTAAGCATATTATGATATGTCAAATCATTTACATTTATTTCAATGGTATCACGTGTCACCTGTAATCCATTGTTCACTTCCACTATCGCTGTTAGAAGCATTTTCATTATCATTTTCAATATTTAGCGCATTTTCATTTATATTATCTCTCATTTCATTATTTTCTAAATCACTATTTTCTTCTGAAGTACTGTCAAAACCTTCATCGCGTTCTATATTTATGTATCTTGCATCATCATCTATTTACATAAAAGTCATTACATATCAATTCATTTTTATTTATATTGGAAGTATAATACAAAAATATGAATACAAACAAATAATTACCTGCTACTCTGTTTGCAAATCTTAATTCTCTATGATCTCTCATGTGTATTTCAACATCAATTGGATTAGCCATATTAAGTATTCTTAATAACCATATAGGAAAATCATTCTCTACAGCATAAATATCATTCTCATTTTCAATATCATTTTCAAGTACTTCAATTAAGGGTTGCAAATCTTCCAAATCATTTAATTCTGCAGCTATCATATTATTGCCTTCATCATCTCTATTATTATTTGCAAGATCACCGTTTTCAACTTCAATCACTTCAAGCATTCCGACTTCTGGTGCTTCTGCTATACTTGCCGATTCGGATTCGGATATATGATCTTGTGCAATACTTGGTAAATCATATTCTGGTGTCATATCTTGAGCAGAAGCGGAATTTGGATATCCAGAATCTATTATTTCAGGAGACCAACTTTTTGGAGGTGTTTCTACAATTTCTGGAGAAGAAGATTTTAATTCAATGTTTTCTATTACTTCCACGATATTTATATTCTTATATTTTGATTCAAGATTTTTTATATTACATTCAGATCGTTCTTCACTTTTTAATACTGATATAAATTGAATGCTTCTTTCATCTTCAATATGAAGAGTAGATACTAAAGGAATATTTTCTAAACTAGTAATATCTTTGGCATGATTAGAAGATACTTCAGTATTATTTACATTTTTAATATTTTTTAAGTTATGATCATTATGTAATTCAGTCCTTCCATCATTGTTATAAATATCTATTTGCGACTCAGATTTAATTATTAATTGATTTTTTAATGAAAACTTTGTATCACAATTTATTGATTGTATGTTATTTGTATTTAGTATAGGAAACTCTTTTTGTTCTTTTACTATATTTTCTGTAATAGAAAAATCTGGCCACTTATTTTGATCAAATATAGAATTTAATGATGAAGTTATCCTTTTTTTACTATTGTTACTACTCATAAAATTTGTTTCAAGTAATTCTTCTGTTATTTGTATATCGTTATTTAATGTAGAAGCTATTGTCAATGCATCACTATCAATAAATATATTTTGATTAGAATTATTTGTTAACTGGTTTTTATTTTTTATTTTTTCATCAACTTGATGCATAAGAGATGTATCTTTATTATAGTTTTCTTTTATTGCATTTGAATAACTATCTGACATAGTAAATATATTTATATTTTTATTACTTTGTGAAAGTATTTTATTATTCTCTGATAAATTATTACTGCTATCATTAGTTAATTGAGATTTCTGTGTAATATTTGAACTAGAATCATTTTTTTGTTCATCATAATCAAGAGATCTTTGCTTTTTTTTCATGTTATTCATTTTAATCTCAATTTTTGGTGAACTTGTAAATTGTGGTCGATTTTCTATTAAAGCATTACTAGTAACAACTACATTGTTTGATTCATCTTCTAGTTTAGAATTACTTTTTGAGATCTTACTATTGTGTCTATCATTTTGCACTTCACTTTGGTTAAAATAATTTGTACTTGTATTTGTATTATCTATATTGTATTCAATGTCAGAATCTTCATTTCCTTTATATGATGTATTTAAATATTTATTATGCAAATGATCATCACAATTATATTCTAATGATTTGTTGTGTTTGGTATTATTTGTGTCTTGTGCATCTATTGACATATTTAAAACCTGTTCAAAAGAATTATTTAACATCCAATGATTACTCATACTTTGATTATACATACTATCGTTTTTTAAATCCATTTTGATAGCGTGTAAAAGATATGGTTCGGGTGAAGTAGATGCTCGCGAAACGGACATATATACCGGAATATCTAATGTACGATTGAGTTTTTGTGCTGTACTTGACGTGGGATCATTCTGTGCATCTGATACTATATAAAAAAATGAGTCTTCTTTCACATCTTCAAATTTTGTTAAAGAACTTGCTAAAGAATTAGGTAATTCTGTTGATTCATTTAAACGTAATCGATTGGCATTATAAAACGAGTTGTTAAAATTATCTATGTTAGATATTGCATTTATTAAATTTTCTTCATCGCTAATTTCATTTTCTCTTTCAAAAATTTCGGTATTTCTTGTCGTTTCAGATTCGTTATTTAATAAAACATTTTCTTCATCAAAGAGATAGGTATTGTTATTAGGAATAGAATTATTTTGTGGAATAACAATACTTTCCTCATTCCAATTTTCATTGGTCCATATATCTGAAGATTCTTGTCTCAAAAATCTATTACAATTTATAGGTGGTCCAGCTTCTCTAGGCCAGTCTTCATCTGAATAAAGATCAGAATGGTCATTAAATTGCGCTATTTCGCTTAATACTGCACTATCATCAGAAAATGTTGAAATTGGTGGTACTAGTACAACTGGTCCAGATTCATGATTTTCAATTGTCCAACCACCATCTTCTAAAATTGTTTGCAATGTATTTGTAGAAATATGAAATGACTTTAACATATTTATTAATACATTTAATGGAACTTCTTCCTCCATATCTTCATTTTGATAAGATAGATATCTAATATAATATGCAGCTTCATCAAGAATTTTTTCCTCATCTGAACGATTATCTATTCGAAATGGATATTCATATTTAACTATAGTTTTAAATAAATTTTCAATACCAATATTACAAAATTCTTTTTCACTAATACGATGAAAAACAGCCATTTGAGTACAACATCCTAGATGTTCTGAACCTTCTGGACCTTTACAAATTCCATCAAAAGTTACAGAATAGTCAGGATATCTTAAAACAATATTATCAGCCCTATTAATGTAAATATATATTAATATATCATATTGTATATTATATATTATATAATAAAACTAGTTTACAATTAATTTCAATTAAAAAGAAAATTATATATTTTTACCAATTTTGAAATTGTTCTCTAGTCCATTCGAATTTATGATCAGGATGTCTGAACCCAGAAAAATTTGGAAACAGTACATTAAAATCTGCATTTGGCGTTGTTATTACTGCCAATTTTGGTTTAATATATCCAAAAATATTATAAGGTACATCCAATAAGATATCTGAATGTAAATGTTCAATCCTGAAATATCAAAATATTTATTATCATCATAAAAATAATGAGACTTCTCTATTAAAAACATTATACTTAAAAATAATTAACTATGTTTAATAATAACTCACAATTCTATGCAGATCACAGCATCAGTATTTTCTAATTTCTTGTCATTGTGAATAACACTACCCTCACATATTTCAACTACAAGAGGTGTAGTCCTTGTATGCAAATATTCAGATACTAAGGGAGCAGCCTTACTTTTAGAAGCTTCTAAAAGTGATCTATCAACATCCACACATAATATTTCTTCTATACCAGCTCTATTTTTTAGATAAACCAAAAAATCAAGTTCTGCACATCCAAAATCAACAATCTATAAACAAAAAGAAAGAATACAATTATTTTATCATTAGAAGATTAAAATTAATTTGATAAAAGATAATTTAATAATAAAATTTAATAATAAAAAGAGTAAATTTATTTAATAATCATGAAATATATTATTTATTAAGCAAAATATTTATAACTAATATAAACCGAATATATATTTTATAAAAAAAATCTGTGCATTTATGATCTAAAATAAAAAAGCATTATACCTTGCGTAATTTCCCATGATATTTATCAATTACATCAGCTACAGCAATGTATCTTTGTAAATATGCTGGTGGAAAAAATTTAATAGATTTTTCTTCAAAATCCTGAGGTGCAGATGGATCTATCATTTTATAATCTCTTTCAGAAATCTTGAATTGTATATCCGTGTTAATCGTATCATCGTTTATGGTTTTTTGCTTTTTATTTCCGTAATTTTGATATACAAACTTGCTAAAAAAATAAAGAACGTGAAATAGTACAATGATCATGTCAATAACGAAAATCAATGGCAATTTTATCACTATCAAATTTTATTAATGCATCCCAGTTCACTTTCCGTTGTGCGTACTGTCAGCCATATTGTTTTGTTTTGAAGGCGGTTTATCTATCCTAAAAATAGATATTTGATTGGTTAGAATTATTTAAAAGGCGCCAATACTGAAATAAAAAATATTCAGAATAAATTAAACTTTACTTTCAATTCATGGAATTAAAAAAAGAAAAAATATGAAAAAAATATAAAATCATAAATTAATCATAAAAAAAAATCAAAGCATTCTGTACTCGTAGAATTTAGTATCATCATTATAAAAATTATATACAGTTTATTATTAATTTGTTAAAATGATAAAATTAGTTATGAAAAAATTCTTATTAAATTAAAAAAAATTTTTAAAGTTATTTGTCTTCTATTTATTTTTTATTTTGATAAAAGAAATTTTTTTTCAAAATAATTGTAATTTCTTAACTTCCCCAATTTTCATTGTTTTTTTTTTTTTTTTTTTTATTTTGAGAAAAGAAATTTTTTTTCAAAAAAATTTTAATTTTTTTACTTCCCCAATTTTCTTTTTTTTTTTTTTTGAAAAAGAAATTTTTTTTCAAAAAAATTTTAATTTCTTAACTTCCCCAATTTTCATTGTTTTTTTTTTTTTTTTTTTTAATTTCATCATTAAAAGATGAAATTAGTTGAATAAATTTGAAAAAAATACTGTATTGTTTTTTATTCCTGACATTCACGTGTATTGAAAATCGAATGTGCATTTCGACATCCGGTCGATGCGACTCTAACGGCATAAAAATGAAGCTTTTCATTATATAAATATCGCGGTAGATAAAAATGTTGTATATTGATAACTCGTATGATAAAAAATAACTATAAATAAATTTCAAATCAATGTTTTAGTTTTAATTATTCTATTATTAATTTATAAATTTATTAATTCTATAAATAATTGATAATTTTTAATATTAATAATTAAATAAATTTTTAAATTTCTTTTAATTCTTAAATTTCCTATAAAATTTATATAATAGAATAGATTTATATATATATAATAGAATAATAGAATATATAATCTTGTTTAAAATACAAAAAGGAAAATGATTTACACATTAAATTGACATTATAATTTATTTAAGATTTAATAATTAATTAAAATAATACGATAATTATTAATATTGGTAGCAATTCACTAATTTTCTAAAAAAGCGATGGTATATACGTTACATCGTTTACATAAATTAAGATGACAGTCAATTTTCTTTATATACCATTTGTAATCATTTTGTGTCCATAATTGTTTACATGTATATTGGAACATTTGTTAACCAATATGACCAATAAATTTAACGCCAATCTTTTAACATCATTCTGATTTCTCATTCTGATTTCTTTATTAGTAATAGACTTAAATATATTTTTATATATTTATATATTTATATGGTATATATATTTATAAGCGCGCAAATATATTATGCACGAGATCTCGCGGTAGCTGTTATGCAGCTTGCAGGAACATAAAACTTGATTCTCTATCGTTAAAATTTATTATTCTTGTTAACATGGCTATCTACATAATAAATCTTGCAGAATTTCGAAGAGCCTTAACTTAACGTTAAGATATTACATATGATAATATAATATATATATTTTATCTCATTTTATTTACAAAAGAACTGTCTCTGTATATTCTTTTCTAATAGAATATATTTTCTTTTTTTTTTCTCAAAATTAGGGATTGTCGATAGTTTTCTTATATTCTTTATTCCTTCCATTCGAGAACATCAGATATAATATATATAAATTGATCTCGAACAGAACGCGAAAATAGAAAACGTTTTTTATGTATTTTTTTCTTTCTTTTTTTTTTTTTTTTTTTTTTTTTTTTAATTTTAAAAAGGCCCCCCAAAAAAATTTTTTCTTTTTTTTGAAAAAAAAAGAAAAATTTTTTTGGGGGGCCCGTTTTAATTTAAAAAAAAAAAAAAAAAAACGTTTTTTTTTTTTTTTTTTTTTTTTTTTTTTTTTTTTTTTTTTTTTTTTTTAATATTACACAGGTACCCGCAAGAATAGTTTCTCTTACTTCGATAGAATAAGGTATAGAAAGGTTAGACGACCGCCGCATACATGATCGATAAATAAATAAAGTGTCGAGTTTGTCGCTGGTTCACAGTATAAAGAACGATCGAAAAATATTATGCTACGGAATAACTCGTTTCACGAATATATTTCTAATAGCTGAAAAGATTATTCGTAAATCTCGAAAAATAATCCGTGCTGCATTAGACCTTTGCAAATGCATCACGTATACATATTTATATAGATATTGATTATCTTCTGTCGATTAGATTAGATAATCTTTAAGATTATCTAAAGAAATCCATGCACCAGGCTAATCAAAACAATTGCAGTAATAGAACAACATAGTCATCGAGTTAAAAATATTGATCGATATATTTTTGACTACCATGATTCTTTCACGCATTCAGCACTTTTCAGTAACAATTTTCTAACTCGAATTACAACATTTCTGTTATGATATCGTCTCTGTTATCTTCGTTATGATATAAAATATCGATTATTCTAATTAACCTGGTGATAGAATCAGCGAGCGAATTCGCGCAACAAAATCTTAATAGAAAAAATAGGTTAGAGTGGCACATTCATCGATACTGAATAAAGTGATAGAATGTTCGTTGAACATCATAACAAATATCGTCTGTCGTAAGATGTTCGAGAATATCGTTTTGCATTTGATGCATCGAAAGCATGTTTTCTGTTTATCATTTCTGCGTATAAGCGATGTGTGTATATATATAAATAGAGAATAATGACAAGACAAGCAATATTTGTATTATAAAAGAGCGATAGTACGAAGAATGATACTTAATCAATTTTTATAGAACGTGTAAAAAATTGAGCTGAGGCCAATTCGATAAAATATGCACGCACACAAGGTCTTCCCTTTGAAAGAACGTCCGACATTTTCTCGATTTCGATTAAACGTTGCATCGGTCGATAATCGATAGCACAATGGTCGTAATTGACGAAAGGGATCTATTTAAAGATAGAAATCTATGTCATCAACGTGGATTGGCGAATGCGTGTCGCGACCTCTTATCGGGAAGAAAAAATAGTACAATGAGAAAGTTCACTCGGTTATACAGATGCACATTTATCGACGTTTCTTGTCGGAAGAATAATTCGTAAATTACGGTGTTGTGGAAAAAAATCTTGTATTTTATCGTACAATCGAACCTTGATAATTCGAATCTCTACGGTTCAAAGATATCTATGAGACTATAATTTCATTCTCTCCTCTGTGAAACTAGTTTGTGAAAGTTTTTTGTAAGTAGAAATATAAATTTCATATGAATTGAAGGTTAAGATTATTTTATCTCTGTATAACTCGAATTCAGAAAAGTGTAGCCCCTACAAGTAGAAATTTATTTGTAAAAGCGAAACTTTTATTATTAAATTTCTTTCTACGACTCGTGATTGCGTTGTCACAACTTTTCAATAATCGATCATTCGATACTGTTTTGTTTTTTGTCCAATCTTTATTTGTCGAATGTTTTTTTACTCGAAAACTTGGATAAAATAAAATCTTTACAATTGAAAGATTTTACCTCCATGTTGAAATTCGAATTATCGAGATTCAACCGTATAAAGATTGGATATTGTACGCCATACAATTTGGCAACGCGAGTTCGTGAAAATATAATTTAAAATTTATGCGAAAGGGAAGACACGAAGAAGAGAGAGAGAGAGAGAAAGAGAAATAGAGAGAAAAGAGAAAGAAAGAGAGAACATTCTCGGCAAGATTTTTCTCAAATTTACGTACGAATAGCAAATATTCTCGATTATCTTGTCCCATTTCCTTCTCCATTCTGCGAATCTTCTTATCATTTCATAATCGCGATGATTATTATCAACTAGATAACTTTGTGTTTCATTATCGTAAAATCATTTATATATATATCACAAGTGTTAAAATTGTCGACGCGCAACAGCGTTAAGATTTCTAATTTAATTTTCGAAACACTACAGTAAATATCACATGGAGCGATGAGAATTTCAATGTAAATATAGAACGGCGATTGATTGGTTGTTTGATTTGCGCACGAATGACAGTGAAGAACGTAATCGACCAATTGGATCGCCGTTTTTAAAAAATTTTTTAAAATATACTTTCAAAGGGAGTTAAAAGATTCAGGCGTAAGATTGATCCAGCGATATAGCGATTTTGTTCCCTTTTTCCACCCAATTTCTCAACCGTCCCCTCAGTTCTTCCAAGCTTTTCGATTTCGCCTTGTTTATCCTCTTGTACTTTACGTCTTTTGGCTTTGTGACTGATCTGTGATTGCTCATTACCCTGTTGTACGTGACCTGAAAGAAAAACGAGATTCAAGGGTTGAAAACTATCCTCTGGTGTTTTGTCTGCTGTTTCACGTGTGAACCATTTGAAACACAAACTGATCAACTTCAATTCTCGAGAGAATTCTTTCTTTATTAGCAGAATTGATCAGTTTTCTCACGTATAAAGTAGATCATTAATCAAAAAGCAGTTAATAGAAATAATAAAATGATTGGAGGTATGTTTGATAAACATGTATTTGATACGTTATATATATTTTCCAATAAATTAATAATTTGCATTGTTGCAGGATAGAATGAAAAAAATCCGAAGTTGTATTTCTTTCATTAAAAAGGATGTTTGTAATAATAAAATTACTTTTATTGAAGCAGTGTAAGTTGTAATATCTTTTCTAATTAAATAATTTTAATTATTATTTTTATTATCATCAATTGTGATATTTTTCCTCAAACTTTACATTATAAAATTATTAAAATGAATATATAAAAGCAATACTTACAATATAAAATACAATACAATATAATTTTCTTTCCATCTATTTTCAAATCTTCTTCCATTCAAAATTACATACATAATATAATCTATATCATATAAATATATATACACATCTACAATACGTACACGCATTTTGCATATATACAAGAAAACTCTAAACATCCAATAAAATAAAAAATTCCATGCAAAATAATATCGTGCCGACATTAATCTCCGAGATTTACGTTTACGGAGTCTCAACTCAAGTGAGATTCTGAAGAAATGAAGTTGAGAACTGTGACGCTTATTACTCGTACGCAAATAAACCAACACGAGGGGAAGGTTTAAAGAAGGATGGTTAGGTAGAAAAGATTGTAGCCTGTTCATCTCGGGCTAAAAAGAGCCTCCTTACCTGCGCCTGCTGACTTTCGTCCCTCGGCCTTTCGCTCGGCGGAGAATCCGCCTCTTGAGCAAGTCTCTCAAAACTGCCATACAAATCCTGAAGTCTGCCCTTCCCGTTTCCCAAATTTTTTGCCCGTCTCTCCTCGCACTCGGAATTTTCGGTTGACTCGGACGGGTCCTGATTGTTCTCGCTGTCGCCATCTTCTTCAACCGAGTAAACGGTCTCTAAAATTTCCGGTCTCCTAAGGAACCCGTTGCATCGTCGCATCGACGAGTATTTGCTCGATGGCTCGACAGCGTCTGAGACCGATCGAATCACCGTAACGTCGGTGATGTTCGAGCGGAACCTGCGAGTAACTTCCGATAATTTTCGACCCAACTTTTCAATCTTAGGGGGAGGGAAGGGAGGGAGGGAGGGGGGAAACGTGGTTTTCAAGTATTTTCGGATGGAGCAAAACCTTGAATTTCAGGTTCGAGGATTCAGAAAGTTTTTAACTTCTCCTAACTTTTCAATCTTCGCCATTGATTCACAGATATGTTCTCAGATATTTCGCGGTTCGAAGGGTTGGAAATCTTAAAATTCCACGGAATATTTTTGAGTTCTCTTGAGGCTTAGGAAATTCTAAGTGATTTTTATTCGATCAATAACAATTCAATTTCTATTTTAGAGATTTAATTTAGGATAATTTTTCATTACCCATCCATTCCGTTACTATATACTAAAACTTCAAAATCCGAATTTTTAAAATATCTTGCAGAAAAAAATAGATCAATCAAATAGATATAGTTTAATTTTGACTCTAAAATATCTAGATTCAGAAACATTGATTTTTGTATTCTAAGCTTCTTGTCCAACTTTTATTTGTAATCATAGAAGTGGCGTTATCTGTTTTATTAAATAATTGGTCTATTATTAAAAATTGGCCCAATCAAATAGATCGTACGCACCTTGGCGGTGCTAGATCATCCGCCGCCTCCTCGAGAACGACAGCACTGTCACTATCTCCAAGGCTATCCAATCTATCGAGGGCGTCGCAAGGTGGCGAATCCCTTGTACCGGTGCTTCTTTCCGCCAATCTGCTCTGCAGTTGACGAATCACCCTCTGTTGTCTGAGAATAATGGACTCCCTTTGCGCCAGACTAGCCTCGATCTCCTTCTGCTTCCGACAAAGCCTCGACTCGAAGAGCAGTAACTGCGAGGACAATGTCCGTAGCTGTTCCGCCTTCTCCCTTGTCAATCGAGCCACGAGATCCTCCTGAAATAATTATATGATCCGTTAGAACGAATTATTAACGCATAACGTGATATAATATAAATGAAAATAGAAAAATGGCGGTAAAGAAACTCGATGTGCTTTATCAATCGTTTTTTTTTTTTATATCTGAGAATTTTAAACGAAGAGAGCTTTTAAAAAAAACTTTTACTCGAATATTTCCCCTTCATTTTACTTTTTACTTCGAATAAAATTTCTTCCCGAATGAAGAGGAGGTTTAATGTGTGGAATAATAGTGTGGAAATATATTTGTACTAATATTTGAACTTACAAGAGAATCTATGTTCAATTTAAATATATTTGTTTCTATGAAAAGTATTTCTTAAGAAGAACTTTTTTTTGAAAGTAATTTATTGAGAATTATTATTATTATTATTTTTTTAATCAATTGAACAAGTGATTTAATTTATAGAAAAATTTTCATAATTCGTCATATTTCATAAACGAGAGCATGTATTTATATGAAAATTGTATTATTAATTGTATAATCAACTTGAAACGGTTCTCGCGTTATTATGCTATATCCCGTATACATATCAATCTGCGCAGTTTCGAGGTCGAGTTAAATGCAGCATTTCTGCGTGGCTTTATCGACGTTGAATTAATCAGCGATTTGCATTAGTTG